CTTCTGAGGGGTCGAGAGCCCAACACCATTTACTTCAGTGACCTTGAGGGGAGGGGGGAGAGCCGACTGTAATTTATGAATGAGTGCTGTACACGCCGGGTGCACTGACATACAGGAAATTGGGCAAAGGGTGTTGTACAGTTAGCTTCTGATGCTTAATTCGTGCGTTGTTTGTCTGATCATAGCAGTCTTCGGTGCTTTACATGAACTTTAACTCTCCGACCATTTGGTCAGCTTTTTAATGCATTTTGAATTTCTCAGCTGTTTTTAACATTAAAAGTTTTATTCCAGCAAATTGTTGCATTTTCCTTTGATGAATTCCGAGTTTATCAATTCAGTTTTCCGTACTGCTTTTCCTTACCTGCTCCTTCCCTGTGGCTTTTTTTTTTTTGAAGAACTTTTTTGTCACTAGTCTTTTTTGGTGTTCCATGATTTTGTTGTTACTAAATGTGGGGCAGGGTGAACATAAAATTTCTCGGGGTGCTTGCGGGGTCATGTTGTTATTACTGCTGGTGGTGTAATCGTTTTGCAAATTCATGCATTTAACACATTGTAATGTTAAGGATGTCTCTTATCACTTTGTTCATTTCAGCAGTGATAAATTGTGCTTCTGGCTGGCTTATCTTCGGTTATGCGAAATGGTTCATGTCCACGCTGCTGGTGCAGCTTAACAAATTCAAAATTTACTTTTTCGGGGAATGAGGTCCCCGTGAGTGAGAGGGCGTTGGGTACAGGATGCACACGAAATGAAGGGGCATCTTCCTAGACATTGGACAACTGAAGTTTTTACATCCTCCAGTCATTGAAGGCTGCTAAAATGCCAATTTTTTTGCACTGGCATTTTATTCATTGTCAAGGCATACCATAGTCGCGTAGGTCATTGCTGGCTTTTGTGAGATCCGTGTGCTCCCGTTGCTCTGCGACGCTCGTTTTCCCTGTTTGATTTTTGGGCGATACATTAAATCTCTGGATTTATAGCGATTCTTTTTTGTAGAGCTCGGTTGCTGGAAAAGATGTCT